ACAGGTATTAAATTAATATGAATAAGGAAGTACTTCAGATTTTATTATCTCAATATCTCAGAAAACTGTTTTTTCCCTATTGAGCGCACTGACCCATAGGGGAAAAGGAAAATCAATAGTCTCAATGTACAAGTGCAAAACAACTTAACTGGATTTTTTAACAACAACAAAAAAAATCCAATTATGTGTGCTTTTAAAATTAATAACAGAGGAAAAATAAATAAACTAATGGTTAGTATGTACCTACTATGTGCCTTAATCTACTTTAGGTACTTTTGCACCTGTTACCTCATTTATCTTTCAAGCAACCCAAAAAGGCAAGTGCTATTGTTCCCATTTTTACAGTTGAGGAAACTAAGACACAGAGAAGTTAAATTGACTTTCAAAGTCGCACAAGATGGTAAGAGGTGGTGCCAAGATGTGAACAAACAAACCAGCCTATTGGGCTCTGCTGCTCATCTTTTCACTAGGCCATGCTGCCCTCTCTCAAGAAAACATTATTGGATGACAGCTCAGCAAGCAATAGAAACTTCCTGTCCAAGTCAATGAATGAGAGAGAGGGAGGACGACAATCAGAGGGAAGAAGAGGAGGCAGGCAGTGGGAAGAAGGAAGGACATCCCAAGCTAAGGGAAGGATCCAGAAGGAGCCAGGGGCTGCGCCCAGCAGTAGTGAGCCACACCCAGGAGGCCAGCGTCAGTACCCATGGTCATGCTTTCCGATAAACACTTAGATGGTCCAGGCAGCAAACACAATCAATGTGCCACTGTGTGTCCTGTGTTGTGCTATAAAGGTGCATAAGACACAGCCTTGCCCTGAACGCTCACGGCCTCACAGGGGAGGCAGGATAAGTCGTGCCTTGCTCTGGCAGAGGTAAATATGAAGGATCTGGAGCAGAGCTGAGGAGGCTGCTCACGTGGGCCAGAGAAGGCTTTGCAGAAGAGGTGACATCTGAGATGGCCTTAGAAACAGAGAAATTCCTTCACGGGGAGGCAGACGGAAAGTGTGACCCAAGTCAGGGAGGAAGAAACCCACAATGTGCGTGCTCGAGACATGGAAAAGGCCCCTCTATAAGTTCCTGAGACAAAGAAATTGTCCCAGTCTCACTGACTGTTTTCATTCAAGGCTGAGATTCCATCTTTGAGGACTTCTGGTTTTCACATCATATTCATCTGCATAGAGTCATGGCTCTGCCCAATTCACCTCAGTTCGTAGGTCATTTCGTGACGGAATTAGACCCCAGTTTCCTTCCCTTCCCCACAGCTCCGTGCAGCCACTAACACAATGCTGTTTCGTGCTAGGATTCCAAATTACAAAATTTTATAAAGTGCTTTTCTTGTCGCTGTATAACTTTTCCTAATCACAATTCAAACGAACTGTTCCTTGGCAGAATTGAGGTAATTATGTAAGGAGTTCAGGAGAGCTGCCTTTGAGCTGAGAGAACCTCCAAACGAGCTTCATTAACATAATCCTCCTAGTGTTTCTTTGAAGCCTGGATATTGTTTTCAACCTCCACAAACCCTTACACTGTTGTTCTTAAAGCAGCTACTTCCTTTCCTTTTAATTAATGAATAACTTAACAGGTTTTAAATAACTGTGCCTTTATGAAAATAAAAACTGGAGTAAAGAAACTCAAATCCATGTATTGGAATAACCTGAGGAGTCAATAAATCCTTTCCAACAATATTTAGACCGTTAACTAGAATAAATACATATTTTTTATCTCCCTCTTTCTGTAGCATCTTAAAACAACAGAGAAAGGGTGCAACACTAGAATAATGACACTCAGTCTGAAAAGTATCCTAAATATATTAAATCACTGCAGCCCCTTTCACTTTGAAAGATTTCAAAGCCTTTATAATATATATGGTGTTTCTATTAAATAGTGGCTAATAACCAGTAATTAGTCAGGAACTAAATCATTTACTGCTTTACTTTGACTCAAATTGTGCCACTTTTTTTTTGTCTACGCCACATCCCCAATCATTTGAGGGGTGATTAAAGTGACCAGGAGATTCTACCAGAGTCTAAGTTGAAATAACTTCCTGAAAGTTTAAGCCAACCCTCATTGTTATGAAGTGGTTCATTCAACATAGATTAAAATTATTCTTATTTCCTGAAGGTCGACTTATTTTGATACTAATGAATTTAATCTCTATTCTATATGTTTTTAGTTAAGTTTATTGGGGTGACATTGATTAATAACATTATATAAATTTTAAAAGTACAACATTATAATTCAACATCTATATACTCTATTGCATGCTCGTGATCTGCAGTCTAGTTTCCTTCCATTACCATGTATTTGTGTCCTTTTATCCACTTCGCCCTCCTCCCATCTCCCTTCCCCTCTGGCAACCACCATTCTGTTGCCTGTATCTATGAGTTTGCTTTTGTTTTGTTAGTTTGTTACTTTTTGTTTTTTACTCCATATATGAGTGAAACAATGTAGAACTACCATATGATCAAGCAATTCCTTTTGTGGTATATACCTGAAAAATATGAAACTACTTATTTGTAAAGATATATGTCCCCCTATGTTCATTGCAGCACTATTTATAAGAATCTAAGTGCTTATGAATGGATAATGGAAAACTGGACAAAAATCTATAGATATATAGATTTCTATACAGATATATAGATAGATATATAGATATAGATAGATATATCACACAATGGAATACTACCCAGCCATAAAAAAGATGAAATATTGCCATTTGCAACAATATGGATGGATTTCTTAAGGTGCATTTTATTCTCATTCAAGGGCATGCCCATTGGTTTTTAGAAAGAGGGGGAAGGAGCGAGAGAGGTAGAGAGAAACATCAATGCAAAAGAGCAGCATCCATTGCTTGCCTCCCATAGATGACTCACCTGGGGATCAAACCCGCAACCCAGGTATGTGCCCTGTCCAGGAATCAAAGTGATGATGCTCCAACCAACTGAGCCACACTGACCAGGGCAACATTGATGGAACTCGAGAGTATTATGCTTTAAAGATGTTGTAAAAAGAACATAAATAATGTTCTTACTTTTTCTTTTTTTAATTGTTTTTTTCCTAAATAACTTTCAATATACCAGATCCAAGACATTGAAAGAGCTGGCAGATTTAACTTCTAAATCTTTTAAAACTGTTTAGGGCATCTATTTGGGTACACCCATTCATTCCTGCCATTTATCCTAGGAGACCAAGGGTGGAAGCATGATTTCTTGCATTCATACTGATTACCAAACCGCTGCCACCTCCCATGGCCTCTGTTCCTTCTACCTCCAATGCTGGCCATGGGTTACCGAAGGAGCTGTATTCCCAGACCTGTTCCCAGAAGGTCGGCACATAATGACTTAAAATATACTTAGATTCATTCTTCAACGTACTGAATCACAAAATTTTGGAGCTGAGAGAGTTCTTAGAAGTTATTTATTTTAAACATTTCATGTTCCAGATAAACAACTAAGCCTGAGAAAAGTGAAGTGGCTTTCTCAAAGCCACACAGCTAGTTAGTGGCAAAATTGGGCCTATAACCAGCCACTGACTGTGAGTACAAGCCCTGAGCTTTTTCTGCTCAGTGTTGTCTGCAGACCAGTGAAATCAGCATCATACGAAAGACTGTTATAAATGCAGAATCCTGAGCCCCAGAGCCACTGAATCAAATTCTGCATTGTAGATCCCTAGGAAATTTGTACACACTTTACAATTTGAGAATCACTGGTCTAGACCATAATCTGTCTTTCTCTAGAGAGCACAAGAACCAGAGGCAAGCAGACATTGGTTAGAAGCAAGAAACCAATTTTTCTAAATGTGGCAAATATCCCAATCTCCTGGAAGCATCGTTTGTAATCTGGAAATAACAACGTTATCCACCTTACATGGTTTTTATAATATAAGAGATATATGCCTGTATATTTCATGGCCTATGCATAGATAATACAAGCCAAGTGCCTCACATATAGTAGCTAACACAGTATATAGTAGCTAATATTGTATCCATCCTCACACTTACCATTAATACTGTGTTCAACCTAAAAGAAAGCCAAGAGTAACAATGACCTGATAAAGGAATCACCTTCCTTTCTTTCTTCCTTTGTTCTACTTGTTAAATTATCATTTTAAATTTTACATATAATTCAGACTTCTAGGATAGTTCACGTTTATAACTCCCTAGAATATGATGATTATTATGTAGAAAATAAATAATAATAGCAAAGAATTTTTAGTGCTGGGCTTGGAGATAAAATAACTTATCCCTAAGTCAGTCATAACCAAAAGAACATGACATTCCTCTAATATCTTGACTCTGGATCTTATAAGCCTGGCCTCAAGGAGCAAGTGAGTATCTGCTGCTGCTGCTGCTGCTGCTGTCATTTTCTTAGATACTCGACTGCAAGGAGGTGAACCCACAGCTTTGGCAACAGTAGTGTGCATTTAAAAGACAATGCTCTGTCCCCAAAATGACACATCTGTCAGTTTCAAGGAAAACATTTTGCAGAGAAAAGGAGAAAAAAAATGTTCAGTATCCAAATCTGAACCAAAATTTTGGAAAAATAGTGTACTACAGAGTATGAAACCATGCCATACTATCGTGGGAAACCATGCCAAAACAATATTCTTGGAGGAGTCATTTTGGAGGGAATATGATGTTAATCTCAATTAGAAAACAATGCTGCCTCAAGGCAGTGGATCTCAACCCCAGGGGTGCTTTTGAAACAACTGGGAAGCTTTAAAAACATTGTACATATTTGGGGGGCCGGGGGCATGCTTCAGTGTTTTAAAAAGATTCCTAGTTGATTCCTGGTTGATTTTAATGTGCAGCCAAAGTTGAGACCTGCCGCCCTGTAGGAGCAGAAACCTGGTCTTATTTAAAGGTCAGTCCACTGAGGGTTATTGGTTGTTGTTGATACAGAGTTCCCAAAATTTAAAGTGCACTGAACTTCAGTGTGTACCTCTTTTAGGTCTTTTCATCATTCCTCCAGGACTTCCACCATAAGGAAAGGAGCCCCTGGACCAACATCCTCTAAGATGTTTATATGGACCAGTGGCCGGACTTCTTCATCTTATAGACACGATGAGAAAAGGTAATTGACCACCCAGACAGGGTGCTGATGGGAAAGCATTGGCCAAATGAGCTTTGTGTTTTGCATGTGCCAATGTAGGCTAAGCTCTATGTTGAGAGAATAGGCTTTCAGACTTTCTGGCCTTCCTCCTCCTTGCACTCTTCATGCTCACTCCTACCACACAGCTTTGCAGAGTCTGTTCCCTGTGCAAAATGCCCTTCACACATGCACACACACACCCACTCATCACATAGCAAACTCCATCTCTGCCTTCAGATACCCATTCAGTCAGAACTTCCCGCCATCCTCTTGACCAGCACTGACTGTGTTTTACTCGCCATTGAATTTCCAGCACCTACCACTGTAGCTGACTCATAGCCAATGCTCAGTATTTACTGAACTGCAATGCTGAATATTGCATTTCAAGACACTTGGACATATGGCAGGGAAAGAAAGCAGAAACCATGAGAAGATAAAAAGAGGAGGGACAAGTCTTTGAAACCCTCAGATTCCTTGAAACAACTGTCTGGGGTAGGGGAGAAAAGGGGGAATAAGAAGAAAGATTAAAAGACAAAGGCAGTGTTAATAGAAGACAAAATGACAAATACACAGCTCAGTCCTCCCCTCTCTCATGGGTTTAGGGAGTAAATACATGCATAAAATTCACTGGCCAGTTTTAATATTTGTTTTCTTCAGTGTCTCTCTCTTTTTCATTGACCTTGTTCTATTACTTAGGTTTGGTGAAGCTAACTTTTAAACAAAACTGCTATGCCAGCATTTTGCAACTTCAGCAGCACAGTTCACCTACTGGCAGATTGTGATAGAAATCAGTATTGATAAATTGTGCTGGACATGAGAAGAAAGACCTGAGGGAAGTTTACTGGAATGTAGTTTTGAGAGCTGGTACTTTCATTTTTCTTTTTAAAATCTATATTTCCATACAGATAAAAGCCTTTGAAAAATTCTGAAAACAAAATTGTTCTTCATAATAATTGTATATTACAGAAAAAATCTTGAAGCAACTTTAATATTCATAACAGAAAACCTATTATATAAATCACAGAATATAATAAATATATCACTTAGCATTTTTAAATATTTTGTCATAATATTAACTAAAAATCAAATTGAAAAAATACATATAAACAATAATTGCAGCCACAAAAAATATATGCATAAGAAAAAGCACAGAAGGAAAAAAACATGTTTTTCAGTTCTCAATTTTCCAAGAGCTTTGTAATATATTATCTTAATTACAGAAAAAATATTAACATGATGTTTGAGTAAAATTACAGCCCAGAAGCAACTAGTGTTTGAACAAAGTTCAAAAAAAACTTCAGTGTTCATCATAATACAAGCAGATCAACTGAAAATTGACTTCTTTGTTCATCTCTAGACTTTCACATGCTTCTCAATGCTTAATCAGGTTATTTTTCCATTTGCTTTTAAGCCAAATAAGTTGAATCATCTTTCAGCAAGACCTATAATAAAAGACTAAAATCCCATGTGTCATTTCAAAGTTCTATATTATATATGTATTATCCTCATTTTCTTTAAAAATAAAAAGAAAGTCTACTACCAGTGATGGTGCAGGGGGGTAGAGATTAAGTCTTCATCAGAGCAGGTGAAGTGAGATGTTTCAGACTCTCATAAAAAAATTTATTTGAGTACATTTTGTTCTATATATCTTTTCTTACAAGTGAAGAGATTAACATTTACAAACGCTTACTGTGTACTGCATGTTTTACATGAACTGTTCTCTTTTAATGTATAAGATAGGAATTATTGTGCCCATTTTACAGATAGGGAGGTGAGGTTCAAAGATTTTTAAACAACTCCCTAGGGTCCAACAAGTCACCAGTGATGGAATCAGGGTCTGAACCCAAGGTCACTCTCTGCCCCCTGCACCTCACAGCTTACGTAGCATCAAACATGAGATGTTTGGAGAAGGAGTGAAGGGCCAAGCCCACAAGGGGAAAATGGTGTTAAGATAGAGTTGAAAATAGTAATGTTAAAGGAGGTAATAAACATGTGAACATGACATATTGGCAATACTTGTGGAATTAAATGGAACCAATAATTAGCTTCACATTGCAAACTAATTAAAATATTGACCATAAGTCAATCACTTTCATCAGACTTTATTTATGGGATGGGGATGCCAAGGCTTATTAAATTAATTAATCTGCATATCATTGGCCTACAGACTCAAAGGCAAATGGAAAAAGAGCCAATGAATACAGCAACAGAATCTTCCACTGGGCCAGTATCCTTAGTTTGATGTTGGTTCATTTGTCTGTACTTTCTTGACCACATTTTCATCTTCACTGTAGGATAAGACTCAGAGTTGAAAACTGACTTTGAACAGCATTTACTCCTCTGCTTAAGATGTTCTTGGTGGCAGTAATCACAGTGATAATGAAGTTGATGAAGGCTTATAAGGAATCTAGATAATTAAGGTCCTCGACTTAATTATTATGAAACAGATTAACTAGGTTGTCTGGCAACACTGCCCAGAACTGCTGGTAATTGTTCCACCCTCAGTTTCTTCCCATTCGGCCAACCTGGCCGCTGAGTCGGGCTTCCCCAGCTGTGCTCCAGCAGCGCCCCAGAGCCAGCCGGCTGATCAATATCTGTGGCTCCCCTCCCCATGGCCTCTCCCCTCTCCTGAGATCTGTGCCAAAGCTCTCAGGATATTGCTGCCCTGGGACTCCTGAGGAGGTGGAATAGCAGGAGGTAGCTTACAGACAGGTACAGAAACCAAATGGAAGGAAAAGTACCCCGAAAATTCTGAAACCAATTGTTTTAAAGCTCAAGGGAAGTTGAAGTCAATTTTACCTTTTTTTATTATTTTAATTCAAAACCACTCCTTTTTCTCATTATCTGCTGTAAGTTTTCTATCCTTATCCACCATTCCACATGCCCAGCAAGATGAAAAGATACTTTTTCTTTTCTGATAGGTGAGCTTACAGGTCACCTAAATCACAGGTGACAAAATTTAACAGCAGCAGGAATAACTAATTTAGAATTAGAAGAAAGCGGTTATTGGCCAAGGATACAACTGAGTGTTTATCAAATATTCTTCAATTGTTTTATTAAATATTAAGCTGATATGAAGGAATATATATATATATCACATGTTAACACACTAATAATGATGATATAATAAACATCTAAGTACCCTTCATTAAGCTTTAAACAAATCAGAATTTTTGAAACCCTTGAGGATGCTTCTCTAAGAGCACCATCCTTTCTACCCCAGCCCTCACCCAAAGAGAACCACCGTCCTGAACTTTGCATTTACCATGCCCTTGCTTTTCTTCATGTGCCTTTCCCATTTCGCAGTATGCTGTTTACTTCTGAATGTTTGGAGAGTTTATGTGAATGAAAGCTTATAGTATGATCTGTTCTGCAACTCACTTTTTTCACCAAACGCGACGTTCTTATGATTTATACGTGAGTAGCTGTGGCTCATTTTCTCTCTTGTTGCTTGCCATCATATAAATATACTGCTGTGTATTCATTCACTCTCCTGCTAATAGACATTTGTATCATTTTCAGTTCCTTTTACGCCAACAATGCTGCTGTAATACTTTTTATTGATGTCTCCTTGTACATGTACAAACACTTCTAAGGATATATATCTAACTTGGGAATGGTTGGTTCAAAAGCATGCATTTTCCACTTTACTAGGTAATGGCATTGCTTTCCAGAGCAGCTATAGATGTGGATGTGGTATTACTGCCCTACAGCCTTGCCTAGAGTTTTCAGGTTTTTAATTTTCGTCAATCAGAAGGTATTGTGCTTTCAATTCCCATTTCTCGGATTAGTAATAAGATCAAGCCTATTTCTCTGGTTCTTTTCTGCCAAGTGTCTATTTAAGAATGTGGCCCGTTTTTCTACTAGATTGTTTGTCTTTTTCTTATTGATTTGTAAGAATTCTTTTCTTTTCAAGATTTTTTTTTCCAGTCCTCACCTGAGGATATATTTATTGATTTTCTTGGAGAGGGAGGGAGTGGCGAGGAGAGAGAGAGCGAGAAACATCAATTATGGGCTGCCTCCTACGCTCACTGACAGGGGATTGAAATGCAACATAGGTATGTGCTCTGACTGGGATCAAACCTGCAATCGCAGCCTTTTTGGTGCATGTGACGACACACCAACCAACTGGACCGCCCAGCCAGGGCTGTAAAAATTCTTTATGAAGTTTATATTATATTATCTGTTTATTGTGTGCAAATAGCTTCTCTAAAGAATTTGCACATAGTTCATTAGATTTATTCCTAAGTACCTTCTTTTTTCAATGTTTAAATTACATTTTTTACTTTTGCAGGTATATGGGAAAGCAAATGATATATAAACTTTGTTTCAACTATGCTAAATTTTGTTATTAATTGTAGATTCTTTTGTATTTTCTTCATAATTGTATCATTGGTGAATAATACATTTTTGTTTTTTCTTTATCCGTAAATATAACATATGCCATTGATTTGGGGTTTGGTTTTTTTTTTGCTTTATCATACTAGTTAGTAAATCATGAATAAAACAGGCAATTGTGAACATCTTTGCTTTGCTGTTGTTCATAAAATAGATCCTTTAAACATTTCACTATTAAGTATAAACTTCAGTATTGTATTTTCTCTATGCAATTTATCACAGAAAGAATGTTTCTATTTCTAATTAGGTAAGAATTTTCATCATGAATAGATTTTAATTTTATCAAATATATTTCTCTACATTTATTACATTATCTTATGATGTAAGTAAAACTTAAAATGTTTATGTAATATATTACATTAATAGACAATCAACTGATGACAACATTATATTCCTGGGATAGCCCCAGCTTGATTATGACATGTTTTCACTTTTATATATTGTTTGATTCAGTGAATTAACTTGGTTTTAAATTTTCATATTTATGTTTATGCAGTTTTCCTCTTTGTCTGATTTGGTTTTGATATCAAATTTTGCTAACTTCATAAATAGATTGGTTTACATTCCCTCCCATTCTCTCCTCT